CAGGGAGGCCTGATGGAGCTGCTGTGTCACTGAGCCAGCAGGCTCGCTAGAAATCAATCAAAAGCAGCACAATCACCGGTGCCCTGGTTACACGACTCCATCGCAAAATCGACAACAGGGGAGCACTTTCCCACTCTTCTGATCAAAATTGTCATCTGTCTCGAAAAGAATATTCCCGGGCGCATTTTCAACCTATCTGCTCCACACACGCTCAGGCCCAGCAGTCGTAGATCCATTACTGTACTGTGGTGAGTGGGAGGCCACAGACCAACCACCCCCCCCCCCCCCCCCCCGGACCAAAGTCAGTCTAGTTACATCTCTTTAGTTACATGAAAGAGTCAGACCGCACCCTCAATATCGCTACGGAGACGGACTCCATCTGATGGTTGCAAAGCGTATCTAAAGAAAATAAATTGGGAATACACATCCCCAATCACTGAGGTTGCGATGACACAGTCGAGTTCGTTTACTAGTGGCGCCATTTGAGAAACATTCTGGCTATTGCTACCCGGAAGTACGAGTGGAAAAGCTCTCAAGCGGGACGCAGTTGTGGGACGAGGTGCCATGTGCTCCATCTTGGTGCCGCCGCATCCCAGAAGCCTCTCAAGCAGGCTCCTCCACTGACATCGGTGCCTGCCGCACCGCTCTGCAGCAGTTCCTTAGCAACCGGCTCGGGAAATCGCATCACCATGGAAACCATAGACACCATTGGACAGGAGGGGAGGGGCGGTGAAAGTCATCAGATATTTGTGATATAGTCGAGAGCAGGGATGGCAGGAACAAGCTTAGTTCGGGAGCTGAGTACTGTCTGTCCGTCTACACTGAGAAAAAAATGTTGTCAATTGGTAGCGTGGAATAAAATCACCTGGATGCAGACACAGTTTTTGAAAATTCAAAATGTATCTAAATCCAGGCGATTCTATTTTGTGCAGCCACTTGACATGGTTCAACTGAGTAAATTCAACACTTTTTTCAGAGTATCTATCATCGAGCGAGCTAGCTTGCAAGCTATAACGTCTGTCTGCCTGCCTGCATGTCTGTCCACACCAGATCCGGGTCAAATGCTGCCTTTACTCACCCACGAAAAGTTTTTTTGGAATTAAGAAAATCAAAGCTCCAGTACTCCCAAAATTTTGGATAGGGTGTGTTGGGCCTCGGCCTGGCTCTTTCTGACATGTGAAAAGTGGCTTGCAATTAAGAAAATAAAATCTACTTTCAAATTTTGGTATAGTGCGTGGACGAAAACAGCAGTACCTTTACTTTGAAACCTGCTTACGGTGTGCGCGCGTCGTTTACGTACAAGCACTCTGGCCGAGACTGCGTGATTAGCAACAATTCACGGTCATGGTCAGTCACCCTTCCAAATGTTTGCCCATGCCATAAAATAAAAAAAAATATCGGGGGACGCTGAATGCCGCGGTTTCAAGAAAATACAGACTTTTTAAATATTTATTGACCAAGCCAGGGGTAAACCCGTGTGTTTAGTTTGTGGTGAAGGACAATGACGTGGTGTCGCCGTGACAGGACGAAGCACGCGGAAAAATGGCGACATTTGACTGAGGGCGGGGCTGCGCAGCTCTTCAAATTTAGCAAGCAAAACAAAACGGCGATTTTACCAAACGACGCGCGACCCGGGAAGGAGCAACCAGGACCCACTTTGTGAAAGCCACAACATCGCGAAAATCACGACGCCATTGTGGAATAAAATCACCTGGATGCAGACACAGTTTTTGAAAATTCAAAATGTATCTAAATCCAGGCGATTCTATTTTGTGCAGCCACTTGACATGGTTCAACTGAGTAAATTCAACACTTTTTTCAGAGTATCTATCATCGAGCGAGCTAGCTTGCAAGCTATAACGTCTGTCTGCCTGCCTGCATGTCTGTCCACACCAGATCCGGGTCAAATGCTGCCTTTACTCACCCACGAAAAGTTTTTTTGGAATTAAGAAAATCAAAGCTCCAGTACTCCCAAAATTTTGGATAGGGTGTGTTGGGCCTCGGCCTGGCTCTTTCTGACATGTGAAAAGTGGCTTGCAATTAAGAAAATAAAATCTACTTTCAAATTTTGGTGTAGTGGGTGGACAAAAACAGCAGTACTTTTACTTTGAAACCTGCTTACGGTGTGCGTGCGTCGTTTGCGTACGAGCACTCTGGCCGAGACAGCGTGTTAGCAACAATTCACGGTCATGGTCACCCTTCCAAATGTTCGCCCATGCCATAAAATAAAAAAATATAGGGGGACGCTGAATGCCGCGGTTTCAAGAAAATACAGACTTTTTAAATATTTATTGACCAAGCCAGGGGTAAACCCGTGTGTTTAGTTTGTGGTGAAGGACAATGACGTGGTGTCGCCGTGACAGGACGAAGCACGCGGAAAAATGGCGACATTTGACTGAGGGCGGGGCTGCGCAGCTCTTCAAATTTAGCAAGCAAAACAAAACGGCGATTTTACCAAGCGACGCGCGACCCGGGAAGGAGCAACCAGGACCCACTTTGTGAAAGCCACAACATCGCGAAAATCACGACGCCATTTTCGGGGGAGGGGTCGTTCAAGAGTGCTTGGTGGACTCTGCAGCGCTAAATATGTCCGGAGCAACAAAAGAAGTTCAAGAAATCCAGGTACAGACCCTCTCTTACTGATGTTCACCTGTCATTTGTGCTTCACATCTCCACCTCAAACATTCAACGTGCTTTGATGCACTTTGGCTCGATTTACGTCACTGAACAAGAAGAAAACAACGCACTCAAACATGCTCACTTGGATTTTTTTTTTTTTGGGGGGGGGCAAAAAAAATGTGAGTTAAGTTATATAATTACTGGCATACAAAGACGTGGTGGCATATTGATGGGAAGTTTAAATCAGAAAGTGTCATGTTCACGTTACTGAAAAAGAGTTACAAATGTTGCACAATTACAATTGTTTTGCGTAATTTCACTGAATAAATGTTTGTTTGTTTTTTGTAAAACAACTGCACTCTCATGATCTAACAATAACACATTCTCTTATCAGCTTCTGTAAACAATACAAAAAAAACGCTCCTCCACAATATTTTCTATATTTGGGAAAAATAATTGCCCATCCCTGGTCTACACTGGGAAAAAAAAAAAAAACCTTTATTTTATTTTGTCAAGTGGTTGCACGAAATAAAAATGATCTGGAAGCAGACATTTATTTCAGTCAAAATGTATCTGAATCCAGATGTTTCTATTGCTTGCAGCCACTTGACACGATAAAACAGAGTAAATTCAACACACCGTTTTTCCAGTGTATCGAGCCATCAAGCTAGCTCGCGAGCTACAATATGTGTCTGTTTTTTCTTTCCATTGATCGAGAGAACATGAGAGCCAAATCACTAAATAGGATTGATCATCTCCTGTTGTGTTATCAAGTGCATCCGTCTAACTTCCTTTCCATAGAAGTACATTAAGTAGAGGCCGGAAATCGAATTTCCCATTCCCAATGGATTTCCAATATCAACTTTGCAGTCAAATGTTGGACCAACATTTCATACCTGTATTGTTGTCCGGACGGAGAGATTGCTATGGTATGCTCTACGCGCCATGAAGTGCAAGAGAATTAAAAAAAAAAAAAAGATTGTTGTCCGGTACCAATGAATATCTTATTTTAGCCATAATACATTTTTTTTGTATTCATTGGTCGATGGCTTATCTGAATTTTTCTTCTGCCAAATATCAGAATCGGCATCTGCCGGAAAATATCAGTCTGCATGGGTCAGAGCTCACTCAAAAACTAGATGAGAAACTCTCGAGTCGAAAAAGAGCAAGAGGATACATACGGCCTTCCCGTCCACCGTGAAGAGCCTTTTGACGGCGCCGCTGTCCAGCTTAATGGCGTCTGTGATGTCCGTCATGACCTGCTCGAAGGAGTGCGCCGTCTTCTTGTTGAGCAGAACGCGCACGGCCTTGCGGGGCTTGACGCCGCTGCGGACGATGGTGACCAGCTTGGGCTTGATGAAGTCTTTGCTCTCGCGGGTTTCCGGCGAGCCGGCCCTGCCGCTGCCGAGGGAGGGCGGGTCGCGGGGGCATGCCACGGCCGTCCTGGCGCCGGCGGACCAGTTGGGGTTGACGTTCTTGATGTAGTCCACCTTCTTGTATGGCTCGAAGGAGGCACACACGTAGCTTTCGCCTGTCAAAAGTATGTGGACATGCGTCGGATCCCTTTGCCCGTTGTGTGTGAAGAAGGCATCAAAATAATGCGAGCCCGAGGCCAATTTGATGTCAATTTTAGACAACAGCGCACCTTCGTCCAGTTGCTCCATGCTCGTGATCCTCGTCGTGCCATCGACAGAGTATATGGTGCGAACCCCCTGCGGCAGGTTGACGTTGTCCGAGAGCGCTCGCGTGAGATCGGCCAGGAGCGCGTCCAGCGAGCGGAACCTGTCCTGAGAAATGGCGTACACGATCCCTTGGAAGTAACGGTCCCCGTTGCGGTAGAAGCGAACCTTCTTGGCCTTCTTCTCCGAGCTCAGCGCCTGCAGCGTCCGGGTTCGGTACAGACTGCAGTGGGCGCTGTGAGTGGGGCTGGGGAGCCCGTTGCCCCTGGAGCCCCGGCGGGCGTACCGCTGTGCCTTGTCCCTCTCGTCAAAGTGCTCCAGCTCCATGTTTGACGCTGCTTTTGAGCCCTCCAAAAAACCCACAAAAAACAAAAACCATACAGCAAAAAGGGAACTTATGGTGGCAACTTGACTCGTGACCTTCATTATTTCCATGGCAAAGATCATAGATGAGGATTGCCATATATACTGTACATATGTATGTGTTATTTCTCCCCCCCCCCGACCTATTGAAATGAATTGAATGAATAGAAAAACAATATTTTTGTAGAAAATGAACATTGCATATAATTAAAGAGAGTCTTCAATAATACAATATTTTTGTAACTTTTTTTTAAAGAAAATGAATATTGTATATAATTAAAGAGAGTCTTCAATAATAAACTGTTTTTCTGAAGTGTGCCGTAATCAAGCCAAACACACACACACACACACACACACACACACACACACACACACACACACACACACACAAAAACAGGTCGGGAGTGCCTATAAAGGGGGTGTGGCTTAATGAGTGCTGTCAGGAGCCCTGGCTTCAGCCCCCTTGCCTCAACCACATTTTTTTGTCACGCTCCTTGCGAGGGTTTTCATTTTTCTAATTGTGTGTGAAGCTACTTGTACCGTTCAATAAATGAGTGAAAGTGCATCAAATATGTGGCTTGCCCTTTTTTCAGCCCACCCATACAAAACACCGTATTATGGATAACAGATTTTGAACTGCCCAGTAGTTGGGTCTCTGGAGTGCGTGCTCACCCGCTAAGTGTGAAATTAGACAACCATGAAACACTTTTGTTCACTAGCTTTTTTCCCTCCCATTTTCATAAAACAGCGCCACCCCCTCAAAACAGGCTCATTTCAGCAAGGCCTATGTAATAAGGTGACAAGTGTACTGTAATTGGTGGTCCTTGGGGTATGCTGCTGAAAGCATGTCGGGCATGTTCCGAAGACATTTGGGAACTTGTTTTAAATTGTGTATTCGGAGAAATCCGCAAAAATCCGCTCGTGTTGGAACGTCAGAAGCCCCCCTCTAACCATGCTGCTGCTAGGACACATCAGAAGGAGCAAGTCACACCCATCCCATGCTGCTTGTTGTGACACCTTCCACAATCAGGACATTTTACCGTTTTTTAAAATACATAATAACAATACACAAACAATGCAGAATATGCAAAGACCATAAAAGCAGCTTGGGGCAATTAGATTTCTTGCAAGGTAGAAAAAAAGACAAGATAAAACAACGGAAATGAATCGGATAGGTTTCGTCCTACCTTCGAGATGTGAGCTGTCGCGTGTCAAGAAAGAACAGGTTGAACGTTGCCTTTCGATGCATTCATTTGATGTCACAGACGCAGCGAGGGGTCCCTTTGTTGCTGCGTGTGCACGCCCGGCTGCCCTGTGCTCGCTCGCACGCGCGGAGGAGGAGGAGGCAGTGCTGGTGCCGGTGTCCTCCTCCACCCCGCCGTGCTCCCTCCCCCTCTTCCACCTGCTACCAACTCCTCATCGTCAATTTTCTTCCTCTCTCCTCTTCGGCCGTTGCACTGCAGTGGCGATCGGCGGACCCGTCCCCGTCCAAGGCGAAGCGCGCATGCGCAATATAATGGCTATAAATCGGGTGTCGCTAACGCCACGCGTTTCTAAATCTGAGAGGTTGGATAGACGCGTGAAATCCTAAATTTGCCCTTAACATTATTTTGTTCTTGTTCAATCAGTTGTGTGCTGTGATACTGCACTTTTGTCAAGTATTTGCAACATAACGATTAGCAGTTCGATTAATTCGGGTAAATACCAAGACCTCGGCACCAAATACATGATCAACTCTTAGCTATGCTAGGCTAGCACTGCACAGAGAAAGGCTGTATCAAGCTTTGTGTAAGTTAAAATGTTTTTTTTTTTTTAACCATGGCATTACATGTGATTTCCTTTTGTCTAAAACGTTAAGACAATTGAGGTTTAAGTTTGAAATTTAGGTGGCGCTACTCTCTGGTCACTAGCAAACTATTAGCTGACAAGCTAAACAATGACACAGCTAATCTTAGCCATGCAAGGCTAACAGTTCAAGAAAGGCTAACAGTTCAAGAAAACTCGGTGTTTGAATAACTTGTGTTCATTCTCCAAAAAGAAAGGTGGACGTTAAATAAACACACACAAAATCCAGTTTTAGTCATTAAAATATTTTACCAGCATCTGTTAGCAACATGCCAGCATTTGTGTGTTGGCCTAAAGTGACCCTTTTATTTCATTGCACAGTGCGAGTTAGCTGGGAAAGGCACAATCCACGTATCCTCACAGCCAGGGAAAATGTTATTTTTGTTACATTAAAAAAAAAAAAATGCTGGAGAGGCAAAGTGAACGACCAATGTGATTTCAAGAGGTTTCCTGCATTTCTTGAGGACAGTATTGTATGCATAGAGGAATACAGTAGTTGCAGCGTTACAGTTAAGTCACACATTTGGGACAGTTATACAAACATATTCAACATGTACACTTCAAATTACGATATACAAAATATTGATGTTTAAATTTGGAATAACCCGCTATGCACTTTAAACATTAATATTGACAGAGGATGAATATAAGCTTTCATCTTTGGTTTGAAATGAATTTTTGATTGCTTCGAAACGTTATGCACAGTCATTTTAGGCAGTGATCAGTGGTGTAACTTCAAAAACAAACAAAACACAGTGAAAGTGTAAGAAAAAAAAAACTTCATCTGTGATGCTTTGCAAAGATGAATGTGGTGCGACGAAAAGCAATGTCAAGTCTGTGTCTTTACTTAGGATCATATAAAATTATACAATCTATATTACGCATATATTTATTTCACAGAATAAAATCTCTACATCAAAGTCCTTTTAGTTCTGAAAGCAATTAGTAGTCTTGTAAATCTAAACCGCATACTGGCGAAGCACATATTTCAATGCATCTAGAATTATAAGGCAAGAGAGTTGGTGACGGTGGTCGGGGGGGGGGTCTATTTGCTGGATTTCTCCACTTGCTTCAGCGCGCCCGCTCGGTCCTGAAGCTTGTAGTCCTCCAGGATGGCCTGCGCCGTGTGCTTGCCCGTCCGCTTCGCCACCGCTTTGACTCCGAGGTTGTCAATGTTGAAGGCGGCCACGCCCACGTTGATGGCCGAGTTGACGGCGTTATCTGTGGCCTGCCCGGCCGCCGCGCCGTACCTTTTGATGGGGAGCAAGGTGAGGGTGAAAGGCGGGACACAGAGAGGAATTAATATGCAAAGCTGCCATGCTGAGAGTGATTGGGGAAATTGATTAGGACTTGCTGACTTTTGAATTCTGTCAGTTCGCACACGTTGTGGGCCTTGAACGCTGCCCCTTGTTGTCATGCTAATGACAGCCGCATTTGGCAAAGGCTGCGCAGGTAGCGCGGTGAGGTGTGCAGTGCCTCATCTGCATGACACTTGACCGCCCCCTTTATTTTCACAAATGCATGTACTAATCTCGACCATCATTGTGTCAAATGATTTTTTTTTTTTTTTAAGGAGAAAAAGGATTCTTGCCAAGGCTATGAGAAGAACATTTAATTAGGATGGGTTTTCCACAAAGAGGGAAAGAGTGATTTGGAATTGAGTAGAAAGGCCAGCCGGTGTCATGCTCGTCATTCGTCAAAGCTTTAATTGCGTTTTTGATGGGGGAAAATGATCACATGTTGCCATTAGTTGGGGCAAGGAGGTTTTGAAGACCCCTAAATCTGTAAAGCAAATTGGAGAGAGGGGTGGGGGTGAGCGCGGCACAAAACACACACACACGCCGCACGCACTGACGGTTATATCACGGCAAGCATGATGGGACAAGATTCGAAAAAGGAAGTGACCTACTTGTGTTTGACTGTGGTGACCGTCTCGGAGGCCACGCTCGTCGTGATGTTCTTGGCCGCCACTTCCAAACCTGTCCACATGGTGGCGAATCCTGGCCGACAAATGGAAAACCAAAATTGGGTTCAAGTCACTGGAATCTCTCCCGGCCCACAAAATATTTCACTCTGTTGCGAGTTGGCCAATTCGTAGTGAATACGAGTTGTCCCTTAAAGGTGTAGTCAACCCCGCCCAAATTTCTTTTCAATAATATGTTCTATGCAACCTCTCTTATCTCAACATGGCATTCGCATTCAGATTGCATTGGTGGAATAGGAGTCAAGCAGTAAAATCCACCCGTTTTTTCCCATCTCAGGGGACGGCCATTTCGCCACGTGCTGCGGACTGAAAATGACATCACAGTTGCTCAGGTAACAACCCATCAGTAGTGTCTAAAAAAGTTTGGAGTTCAACAGTTCTAAAGTGATTAAAATTGTTCAATTTGTGTATTTTTCTTCAATGTATTCTAATTCCTCTCGCGATAGTATTTTGTTTGAATCTATAGAAATAAAAAAAAAAGTTTGAAGTTGACAGCTGTAAGTTCACCGATTTTTATTTATGTATTTAGTTAAACATTAGTCCACTAATGTTTAGTTGCAACGCGACCAAACGCGACTGAAATGTCACACAGTGAGCGGCAGCTTTCAAATGACGACGTGTGGGCACGGCGCCACCTTGCACTCCGCTGGCAGCCACCACCATGGCCCCGTCGATGTTGGAGCGTCCGTCTTTGTCTTTGCGCATGGACTCGGGAATGAGCTTGCCCCCGTGCTTCTTGACGTGCGGCGCTAGCTCCCGACCCACGCAGCTGGCCACGGCGCATACGCCGTCCACTGCAGTGACACGGCAGTCAGTCAATCGCCACCCCCCCCCCCCCCCCAAAAAAGAAAAAAAAAGATGACGGGGAAACACGCCGATGATGCGGCTGCGCTCACCTAGGAACTGGCTGACTTTGACGGCGCCTCCCGTGGCCTGCTTGGCGACGTGGAGGCCTTTGGTGACGGTGGGGCTAACGTGCGCCGGCTTGTCCTCCGGCGTGATGTGCTCTCGCAGTTTGGACGCCCCCTTGTGAATGGCCTTGCCCGTGAACTCGGCTCCTTTGACCAGACCCCAACTCAGCCACGATGCGCCTACATGAGAAGTCGTCACAAACATGAGCCGCATGCCCCGATGCCCAATTCGGACTTAAGAGTGTAGCGAGTTTCAGTGATTTAAAAGACTCCTTTTCTTTTTTGTTTTTTGTCATTTGCGTGACATTGGAAGCATGAGTCGTTCTGTGGCTACCTCACCTGTCAGAATGCCGTTGGCCACCTTCTCGCTCCACTCGGGCAAATTCTTGTCATCTTCCGCCACCGCTGTTGCCTCCTCGCTCGACGGCTCGTTCGCGGGAGTCGAGATGGACACTTGGTTGCCGAGATTCACATGCTCGACGGCCTCGTCTGCGTCCTGATGGAACAAACACATGGCGCAGCAAAAACCTCAAGACGGCTCGATGCTCATCTACTTGCAACGCTGTCCTAATAATAGCGCCCTTTCATGACGCGGTCACAAAACTGCAATTGTTTACCAGTAAAAAAAAGCTTCTCTTTGTCTTGAAAGCCTCAAATCTGCAACTTAACAAAAGGGAAAAGTGCCAAGTTGGCGTCGCAGGATCAGTTCCATCGGCAAGAAGCGTCACATCTTAAATGACCTTGTGTGGCGGCCGAGGCTCCGATAGCAGCTGATAAGAGCATTAGCGCCATTTTAATGCTCAAATCCCGACCGTGCTGAGGCAAGAGCAAGCAAGGCTGGCTTCCTCAAAAGAAACTGTCAAAAAGTCTGCTGAGTAAGAAATTTTGGGGGGGGAATCAGGAAACAATGCTTTTTGTGAAGATATATTTTATACACAACAGTTACTTTGTTAATAATTCTCAGACGTCTGAACAGTCCTTTTAAAATAATCCCCTCTGTTACAATTTTACATTTGGCAAACTTTACAAAACTTTGAAAAACCACTGCAAGAGACTACCTGCACTCTGAGGTCCGTCATCTGAGCTAGCAGATCCCGAAACAGCTCTCGGTCGGCGGCGGGCAGCTCCGACGATAGGACCACGCCCACAAAATGTCCCGGCGCCGGCGCCATCATGTCAGGGAACATGAACACACCGGTGTTGCACAGCAGGGCCGGCGAGTTGGCCGCCATGAGCGGGTACAGCCAGTCGCACACCTGCCAGGGGAGGATCGATTAATTGTGGTCGTGTGAAGAAACAAGGTACTTTAAAGTACTTTTTTTTTTCTCAGAGAACTTTTAGGACATAGTGTATCTGCACTTTCTACTCCTCGCGGTTTCAAAACAAGCGTTACTTTTTTCACCCGTGAGGATGATGAAACTACTTGGGGGCGGGAGGAGTTGGGGACAAATTGAGAGAGGTCAAGCGGTCATGTCAACCACAGTTGAGGAAGCTCGATTGGGTTTACGTGGAGGACGGACACGAAGAGGAGACCGTCCCTCCTCCCTTTGGACTGCCGCATGTCTAACAGGATTATGTGGACATCGCAACGCGCATGCTTATTGCTCACAACAACTTTCACTCATGTGACTCGCCACATTGATGTCATCTGCCGCCAAAGGGTACCTGGGAAATTCCCCCTTGAAGAGTCAATTATCCGCCCCATGACTACAAATGACTTTTTGTGGTTGACAGAAGGGCCGCACAACGTTGCAGAGTCTGTTGCTTCAAAGTCCGAAGTCCTGATTATTAAGTGACTTCATTATATCATTGAGAGAGAGAGCTCACATGACTTAACTAAGCACATGCACACATTAATGACACATTGCCGAAAATTCATTTCAGTGTGAAAATGGCGTAGGTAACAAACACGAAAGGTTCGATCCAGGCTCCATAGAAATGGCTGTCGTTAAGATAAATGTATGGTGTACCTACATTTGATGCTCCCCAACATCAGAATTACCTGGAGAAATGCTGGTGGCCTACCGGGGCAGTCATTAGTGAACTTGATCAGCCGCAGGTAGCCCGGGTAGGAGGGCGCGCTCACGTCCCCCTCTGGAGTCACAAAGAATATCTGCACCCCTTGCGGGATGCACAGCAGCTCCTCTGCATCCTCACCCACGCTCTGCGGTGACGACGCAGCGCTGGACGCCCGACTGTAGAAGTCGTCGCCGACCAGCGACAGCTCGCCCGATTCGGTACCGTACGAGATGGACAGGTGGCCATCGGCCGCTTGGGGGGAGTACGCCGGCGGCTGGTCCCCAAGAGCCACGGCGCTGCATGCGGGCGCACCGCCGGGCAGGCTTTTGACTTGCTCATCTTCGGCAGGAAGTTGCGGGTAGACGGCTCGTTCAGCGCCGGCGGCGGTCTCCAGCGCGGCGAGGCGCGTGGTGATGTTGTCCAGGGTCTCCTGCATCTTCCGCTGCATCTCCCGGGCCGAGTCCCAGGAGTTGCCCACGCACTCACCCCCCTGCGAAGGCACGCTGATGCCCCTAAGGAGATGCTTGCGCCCCTTTCTGTAAAGCTCCAGGGCCTGATGGTTGTTTCCGGCTTCGTCGGCCGTCAGCGCTTTGCTGATACACTCGAAGGCTCTGTTGTAGCCATCTTTGATCACCTCAAGCCTGGCGTGATCGAATGCATCCTCTTTCTCCTTCTCCATGTCCTCTGAAATAAGACACTTATTAAATAATTGGGTTAGGACACAGGTACCAGTGACAGCATTTTTTTTTTTTTAATGTAAAACAGCTATGACACAAGAAATATTTGGCAGTGTCGTGTAGTTATTTTTCTTTTCTTTGTCGTGCATGCAAAACAACTATCAAACGAGCTATTTAATTGGCAGAGTACTATATTTATTTGGATATATGACGCACCCACCCCAAACTTTTCAGACTATTCGTCTCACATTCGCTTCTATGCACACGGAAGTAGTTCTAATCTTAAAATATAATCTTTGAGCAGCCATTCGTCTGCGCGACTTCAGGACTTTGAACTACGTAGGATTAGCTGACAGCTCTGCTCTGTTCTCGGCTAGTTAGCGTTAGCTCCCCGTTAGGTCGTAACGGTGTTAACTTACCTCCCAACGTAGTAGCCGGTCAGCGAACTCCGCGGCTAACGTTTCAACGTGTAATTGTGCCCACCGCAAATGTCACTCCCTGATGTGTTCGCTTGCATAAATTTGGACCCTGACGCAACAACGACTCAATCAAGAGCCGTTGTGACAACTATGGAGCGAGTAGCGACACCGTCCGTTTCGAGTTTATACATTATTTTGAAGATTTTCTTTCATACCGGAAGCGGCATCGCTGTGTCTCTGAAATCAATGTGTCATTGCTTTTGATTCCGTATTGCGCCTGGGAATTTCATTTCTATAGTGTCAAGACGTGACGTAGAATATGATTAGCAATGTTGGCCGGTGTAGTCAAGTCAACGAGAAACAACGAGCTAACCTTTTAATTTGAAGTTTGCTCACCAGAAGCCCACGGACTTTTAGTGACAATGTCGGTATTTTGACTATTAAAAACCAACGCCGTTTTCTAGATTTCACCACAAGATGGCAATAAAGGAACGCTCGTGATTGGAAACGTGACATTGAGTGAATTAAATGTTTTTGAAGCCGGGCGGGGGGTAATTACTCGACCATTGACAGCTGGGTATTATCAATACTCAGTTAATTTACTGAATAGAAATTGGAGGAATAAACGGAAACGCTGACATTAAACGAACAAAATTACTCTTTAGTTACGCCAAGGGACGACAACGCAAATTATGTGTTACAAATGCGTTAATAAAGTGTGTTTACTGTGACAAAAGGCGAGGTTATCACTTTTTTTAACACTCCGTGTGACTTTCAGGGGAAGAAGCTGAGGTAATGTTCGGCGATATCCTGCTACCTTGACTGAAAACGACCACTGCCTGTAGTTGACAAAGTTTTTCAATAAATAAAGAAATATTATTTATTTCAAAAGTTCTGCTGACAAAATATTGTGCAAAATTGCTAAACTGCACGTTGTGCAATTAAAAATAGCTGTTTCTCAGTTACCGCAAACAAAATGAGTAATGCCGATCAAAGCCTGCAGGGAGCGTTAATCTCCGTTTAAATGCAAATGCTAGAGGAAATGTAATGTCTGCTTGTTTTTCCTCGCCCCTTGAACAAACGTAATTTATTAGTCCTGTATATTTCCAGAATTATGAATGGAAGCTATTAGGTTTATGTGTAATAGCCATGTTGTTATTGATGATGAGTATTATGGCCGGCGAATTCCAGCAGTAAAAAAAAGTCTTTGTGATTAAGAGCAGTCCGTCAGTATTTTATCATTTCTTTGCCTTTTCATTATTTGTTTCCTAATTCCAACTCACAATGGAAAACCTCGAGTTTGTATCAACTCTTGTTCGACTGCAGGTCAAATGGAATTGCTTCAGATATTTATACTCTGCTGGAATCATTTTTTAAATAATGTTGTTTTAGACAATGTTTTTCAATTTTTATCCAATTACTCGATTAATTCAGGGAATATTTGGTGGAATACCCGTTTGTACAAATATTATTCACCTGCAGCCCTCATATTTGCTCCGTTTGCTCTCCGCCGTGTCCCGTTCAGGGTTGCGGGGAGCCGTGTCACATTCCAGCTGACAACCTGAGCGCCAATCAATCACCCGCTGGCACAATGAGGGACCAACGATCAATCGCACTCACGTTCCTCAGTGAGGGCTGAACCCACAGGCGGTGAAACCACGACACGGCGCCGTGTCTTTCATTAAGCACTCGAGGCAAAATCACCAAAACACTTTGAAAGTCCTAAAAATGAATTCCGAGTTAGCCATTTGCCGATGCATCAAAAACTTAACAATATCGCAATATCTCCACGGTATAGATATCGATATCTGATATCATAATTCAACGTGTACGGCTCGTATAAAGACGAAACGATGTGGTCATAAGAAGCATCATCACATGGAAACAAGACGATGGAAAATACTCCCTCAAGCTGTGTTGTCGCCATACAGTAAGTAAATGAAACTAACAGAAATTGTGAGGTTAGAGATGAACGAAAAAAGACCAAAAAAAGAGAGAGGGGCGAAAGTGTCCCCTTTCACGTACTGAAAATACTTTCACACACACGCGTGTCTCTTGCGCAACAAAAGTCACGTGATTTCACGGTGCTCTTCGGCTCACAGGCATCATTTTCCTTTGTCGGGTCCAACTTTGGCCTCACACTTTACTTCCCACGTTTGCAAATTTATTCCATAGCTTGTTTCAAGACACATTTTTTTTTTGACAGTCATCTGACAAAAAATTATGCAGCACTTGGTTTTGTATTCTCATTCCGGAGACCCAAATTCCATGCCTATGGAGCCTTTTAAAACATACTTTCCCATTTGTCCATATCCGCTTTAAAAGTTTACACTTCTGTAGTAAAAGTTCACTACGGCCAAAGTTTGACCCTGGAAGATTATTTCTGCTTTCTGTTGGGGGTGGGATTAGTAAATCAAAACAAATTGCAATTTGGGGCACCGTGTTCCAGTTTACTGTTATGATGTTAAGACGTTCTAAATGACAGTGCGACCAAAACTCAAAGATAAATCTTACTCATGCCTGCTGGATGCATCAACCTATAATGAATTATCGATACAAAATAAAACTAAAATGAACACACGCCCAAGATCATCTCTATGTTCTCTTGGATTATGACGATGAAACTTGGGTGAAAAAACGGTCGACCAAGAGATAGGAGCTTTTTTATGATTAGCGTCCGGTCAGTAAAGCTGTCTCTGTGTCTCGTGTGATTTATGAGCGGAGTCACGCAGCTTGCCGGCTAATTCCCCAGATGAAACGAGGCTCTCCTGTCTGGAAAAACACTTTGTCCCCACGCTCGCTGCGACGCCTGCGCGCAGCAATGCTAACTGCACGAAAAAAAAAGGCGACTAATATGAAGCAGTCGCACACGGGCTACTCAAGACATGCGTGTAAATAGACAAGATGTCCAAACGTTGTGAGATTCCCGCCGGCGTACGCCAGCGCGACCTTCCGCTCGAACGCACGCCAGCCGCACTAAACTCATGTCTGTTTGTAGTAAAGTAAGACACGCCCCCGCATCAACTTTGTTTTTGCACAAGCTTTGTCGCTCAGCTCCAAACTTTCCTCACTTTTGGGGGCGTTTGACTTTCAAGGTTTAGCTCAGTGCTAACAAACAAATGCTGTAGATGGGCTAACGAACAGCATTGGTGTGCCGCTCTTCGAACTCTTGAGGAACCGAGATTTGAATGCCAACGTCGGACATGAAGACAGAAAATGTAACAATAGTCACAGCCATACGTTCTTTATCCTCCGCGAACAGTGGCTACTGTTACTGCAGCTAACTGAGAAGTTCTGGCAATTTTTGCGTGTATTTGGTTGTCTGTGCAGTATTGTCATGGACGCATGGGACAATTAGAAAAAGACGCAACAAACCACGTCCCGTATTGCGACATTTAATTCCCGATTAAAGGACAATTCCGTATTTTACGGGACAGGTGGCAACCTTAGCGGGAACAGTTTTTGGGGAGAACAATTTGTCAAGTGTAAAATCACCCAAAATAGGTATAAAAAGACAAGTGGGAACAATAAACGTGGGGTGAATTGTTCAACTGGCAGCACACATACTGTATGTTTATCAATTCATCAAATTACTGGTGACGTGTCAGTATAAATAAAGTACGTTTATGAGCCATGAGCGATTTGACGGCGGGGGGATGTGTTGAAAGACGGAAAAATGGCAGGCGGCCATCGTACACGTGTTCATATGACAACGCTTGTCTGGACTCGGGCCAAACAACTTGCCGACTTTGGGGGATAGGAAAGCAAGGCGATTTGTCACGATTTGTTTTTTGACATAAATCCCGACGCCAAGGTGCCGCTTGTCTCGACACATTGCGCGTGAATGGAAAGAATTCTTCCTCGCGTGTTTTTTGCTCAAGGCTGCGATTTTCACGCTCAAGAACACACGTGTCACACAAGAATGCTGTAAAAGTCCCACTCGTCCATGCGGAAAGAAAAAAATCTGGCCAGACGTTTTGCCGGGGTCATGCGCGCAAATTTGGATTTTGAAGTAGGTTTGACATTTGTGTTTTTTTTTAAATCCCGTTGCCGATTTGAAGACACGTTTTGGGGTAGATTCAAAGCAGGTTTAAATTTACCTCAACAAATTTGGGTTTTAAAAACGGTTTATGGTTTTAAAAGTGATGTTGGAGTTTGCAGTTGTATTTCAAATTAAGGTTTTAAGACGGGGTTGGGCTTTGAAATTCAGATTTCGAGACTGGGTTGAATTTACAAATTAGGGTTAGGGGATTCAAATTCAAATTTAATTATAGGCGCCACAGTGGGCGACTGGTTAGCACGTCCACCTCACAGTGCAAAGGTGCAGGGTTCGATTCCTGCCCCGGCCTTCCGATGTGGCGTTTGCATGTTCTCCCCGTGCCTGCCGTGGGTTTTCTCCGGGTGCTCCGGTTCCCACCCGCATCCCAAAAACATGCACGGCAGGTTGATGGAACTCTCGAAATTGTCCCGAGGTGTGATTGCGAGCATGAATGGTCTTTTGTCTACGTGTGCCATGCCATTGGCTGGCAACCAGTTCAGGGTGTCCCCGGCCTACTGCCCAAAGACGGCTGGGATAGGCTCTGGCACCCCGCGCGACTCTCCTGAGGAGAAGCGGATCGAAAAATGGATGGAAGAATGGATGGGTTAGGCTTTTAAGTTAGGTTTCAATTTTATTTATTTTTTGTTTTTTGTATCGGACCTTATCTCAATTCACGTCCTGTTTGATCTGATAAAAGTTCTTGGGAGTCGTGAGTGGCGAGTGCCTAAGTGACTCCTAAAACCCACTTCCAAGGCTGCGTAAACCTCCGGTGCCTCCGCAACCGGCCAAATTCCGCGTCCAAGTCGGCGGCTTTTATGGACTCTGAGAGATGGAAAATGAAATACGGCATCCGTCCTTTGCCAGTTATATCCCCGCCGCTTCACATCAGAAAATGGAGCTTTGCCGCTTCGACCGACGCGATGACGGAATGACGATGAGCTTTCCGTGTTTTCTTCGATGGCTGCGCCAGGACATGCGGTGCTCCTCGTATACGCATTGGATCACATTTTACACTCTGACGTTAACATAAATCCGGAATGGCCGCCAACGGTTGCGGCGTATTTATTGCGATGCCGTTTGCACTTGACAAAAATCAACGTTGCCTCGGGAGCTATTCGTGGCATGGATTAATCATGGAAAACTTAAAAGCTGACAATGGATACTTGAACACAAAAGGTGCAGCAACGCATCTACACATTGTATCAATACTAAAAGACATATATACATATATATAAAAAAAAAAAAAAGGCTAATACTACTGCAAGTCACTGAGCAGTCTTATTTGTCGATAGTTTTTGTACTAGGAATGTGCAAGTACCAATACCAGGCATCATATTGGGCCGATACCAGCCTATTTCAAGGTATGGAGTCCTCGTAAAGGATACTGATACCAGCCACCGATAATAAGGGAGAACAAATGTCTGATATGCAGAATGTCTTCTCTGCCATTAGCAGGCCAGCCTATTTCAAGGTATGGAGTCCTCGTAAAGGAAACTGATACCAGCCACCGATAATAAGGGGGGAAAAAAAATCAGACGTGCAGGATGTCTTCTCTGCCAGTAGCAGAGAGGTCAGAATTTGGTGACATTGCGACATTGAACGTCCCTAATGTGTATGTCAATATCCTACCGCTCCCTGGTGTACGAGGCGGGCACACGAGAAGGAGCCTTACACGATTTTAGAACACTTGGAGGTCGTGTAAACAGCTTGAGCGTCGCGCCGGGCGCCCGCCACTCGGCAGCGTGTCTTTCTTCGAGCGCTCACTCACAAGGAAGCACGCCCGCCGTCGAACACCTCACGTTCGCCAAGAAGCTGCGTTCCATCAGAGTGGCCATTTTGTTTGGACACCGCTGACCAAAAGGCTACACAACACGTCACACACTTCATTAGGTGCTCCACTAACGAGCTCCGATGGACATTTTCGCCATGATGTCGTGCGTACTTCCAGCTGACAAAAGCTAAATAATCTCCGAGGGCACCAATTGTATGCCAATACAAGCCTCACTTGTATATTTTTGACCAAGAAAACCGATTAAATGGCTTGAATGTGAGGCTGCAACAATGAATCAACTCGCTCGAAATGATTCAACTACCCCGAAAAAATAAAATAGAAGATCTTTTGTTCCACACAGTTGTAACATCACGTGACCCATCCCAGAAAAAAAGTGTATTTATTTATGTACTTATTTGTTTATTTTCTGTATTGTATGCTGGATAAAAAAATCAAGATATAAGTTTTATTTAAAAAATGATTTGCTTTCAATTTCATGACATGACATGTTTAAGTATCCAAGTCTGTGACATAGATTTATGTGTGCTGTCATAAATAATGAGACTCGTGTTACTTGTGCACAACTGCTTTGAATGTTTAGAGTGCATGAAGATAAAAACAATCTGAAAACGTCGGCCATGAGCCGATTATTTTGCCTGATGTTTGAAGAGCCATAATCAATTGGGCCCTAGTCATTGTGAATTTGTGTGTTTAGTCTTTTTAAATATTTTGCCAAAATCAGTCGGTATGAAGCACACTGCAGCGGAACACCTCCCAGTCATGGGTGCAGAGTTCCACAGGGCTCACTTCTCGGTCCATTGTCGCTTTTTGTAAATCGACAAAAAGAGGCATCATTTGCATTCAAGGTTGGAGACACGAGACCTTTTAAGGAACTTGGGAAATCATGCAAGGCCATCCTTGTCGGGTGTCCTTTTTGGAAACCGTGGCGTGTTGATGTCAAAGAATGCACTTTATTGGAAAATGGTTGGGAAAAGGAGACAAAGGGGGGAAAACGTTGAGATGGATACATTGTGTGAAATGAAAGACAGATCAAAATGTGCGTGAAACTTTTTTAACAACTTCAAAGTCATTTAAGGGTCTGAAAAACCTCATTGATGGACTTATCTATCATGCTAGGATTTCCAAATCTTCTACTTGAGTTTCATTGCTTCGACTAGCATTAAAAGGCACGGGGAAAAAGTGTAGGATTGGACCGTCTTTTTTTTATTTTTTTTTGCTTTTATTGCACCTCTAATGGCTCGTATGAAAGTCGAGCCAAAATGTTTGCATTTGAGACCCTTAAAGTGCCGCTGAGATTGCTTAGCAGAACCGTTTTGAACCGCGAGTACACTTGAAATGACATTTAAAGTGCGTCCCCGTGTCAGCGAGCCGCTCTCAAGCTGCCGTGCCGTGATGCCTCGCTGCCTGAAGTCCGGTCCCCTCCCCCTCGTTCGGGCTCACTGCCTTCCTCTTCGCCTGCCGCCGGCTTGGAAGACAAGAAAAGAGAAGCACAGTTTGGATACATTTTTTTCCCCCAATTAGAGGAGGTGTTGAAGAGGCTGTGCATCAACATTGCCGGCATGGAAATACCACACTTGGCAAAGCAGGCGAATGGAACCATCTCCTCTCCGATGGCTCTTTTCCACCACGCTCGTGCTCGAGCTCGCCCAGGTTAGCGCCCGTGTTTTCTTTTTCCACCACCCAAATTGGCTCGAGCTCTGGTGCTTGAAGCTGGTGCTTAAGATGGCCCTTAAATTGTGTGCCAACTGTTGAGCTAGGTGAACTCCGGCAAACATGCGTCCCACCAGCGGAGCGACGGCTGATGAAATCTCCGGTGAGCTTTCAGAGCATCAAAGCAAAGCCACACGATTGAATCGTAATCATGAACGATCACATGCGTTTTATCTTGAAACATTGCTGCAGGTCCCCGTGCTCCTCAGGTTACTTAAACCTAATCCCTGCGTGCATTATGATCCCTCAGGAGATGCTGGGGAAAAATAAAAAATAAGAGAAACGAACCTCGATCATGTTCCACTATGTTACGGTTCCTGGATGCCAGGGATTAACTGAAAAGTGTTTGGCGCGATGCGTTTTTGTTCCCGAGCAGCTGACTGTTTATTCATTTCCAGATGTTCTGCTAAGGCAGGCTGTCTGGCGGGAGCTTTGTGTTTGTCTTTTCAAGGCCAACGACTTGAAAGCTGTAAATTCAAATTGTGTTCCAATACGTGGACTCGTCACTACGTTGTATCAGCTACGTAAGGGCTTTGGTTCACCAAGCTTTCATGACCTTATCCAAAAGCCGGTTGTTATCACAAGGCAGACTAGTGCCATTATTCGATTAGTGCCAAACAGCCCCCCAGTGCACACCAGTGATACCCCCCCACCCCCACCCCACCCCAAAAAAAAAAACTTGATGCTCGTTGGGGGCCAGGGCCAGTGCTGTGCTTAGTTGGTGCTTAACAAGTTCTTAGGAAGAACGTATTCGCTTTTCCATCGGCAAAGTGCTTGACATCGTTGGTGCCAGAGGCTGGCCCAACAAATAATTGAAGCCATCTTAAGCACCAGGTTCAAGCACCAGAGCTAGAGCCAATTTCACTGGTGGAAAAAAGAAAGAACCAGTCGGTGCAAACCTGGGCCCTGGTCCAGGACTAGCACGAGCACAAGCGCGGTGGACAAGGGCCATCTGAGCGGCCAAATGGATGATATCACTTCGACTCAAAGGCTCATCGTCTTCACTCTGTGGCCTCAGTGGCTGCCCGAAGCCGCCGTCCTCGAGGCGTCATTATAAAAACTAGAGAACGTGGCGAGAGATCAAGGAAATCGAGTTCAATGCGAAACCTTGTGATTGACTGGAGCTGGTTTCACAAAAGAAAGCAGTCAAACCAGACCCACTTCCAAGTTTCTCAGAACGAAACACACACGGCGGCAGTAACCACTTTTCAGACTGTTCTGTCAAAGAAGGCCATTGAGCCAGCTCACAAGCTGATCTGTATGAACTGCTCTTTGGCAGCGGCGGCGGTGGCGTTCACCGGGTGAATCATTGCTTTACCTAAAAGTCCTCGGGGAGGGTTTCTCCTTGAAACGCCCTCTATATGGAGGCAAGCAAACATCATGTGGTCAAACAGTGTTTGCCCCTTGCTAGACGTACACGAACCGAGCGGTTCGCTCCAGGCTCACCTTTGATCATTTTCACAAGTTGGTCACCGTCAAAGTTTTGATCTGTTTTGATGGTGGAGAACTCTGCAAGGTTAGATCCTACGAGAAGAAGGGAAGATCCAAATTGGGGCAAAATGTCGTTTATGAAGGTCCAATGGCGTTCGGTAAGATCGTTGGACTAACCGTCTACGCCAAGCTGGGTGGTGCCAGTGCGGACTGAATACTGAGGTCCTGGAAACGACACAGTCAATGAAATGATAAGCGCAGCTCAAGATTCGGTTTCCGGCAGCAGCTGCGATGTTTGGCAGATGGGGCCGTTTCTAGTCCCGTCAAAACACTTGCCTGAGACAACTCTGGTGACGTGGGTGATGGCGGGGTCAGTCTCGATGACTCTGGTCACTTTGGTGATGGGCGTTTCCTGATGGATGACCCGGGTCACTTTGGTCACGTCGGGAGCTATATAAGCCAAAAACAAGGGCGACCGTCATTTTCACAGATGCGGGATGACCAATCGACCTTTGACTGGGTCAGAACAGACAAACAAAAACAATGTGATTCACCATCAGAGGATTCCTCACTCAAGCTTTTCGTTTGTCCAACTTTGGAGTTTATTTATTTAGTTTTTTTGCCTCTGCAATCGTATGTGTGCGGAGTTGGATCGTTTTGAGGATTCCCCATGAAGAAGGATGCGCGAGGGCCACTGCTTGGAATTTGTATTTTGTCATTTCTTTCTTTGTTTGTAAATGGCTACAGCAGGACAAGTCATGTGACTCCAGTCCCCCACTTCTCCCTACAATGCACTTTTTTTCTTTGTATTCTGCAAAGGAAGAAGCGATGACATCATTGCCCCCGACCCCACCTCAAAAAAAAAAAAAAAAAACTCGTGGCATCTGTGTTGTGCATTATATGTGACAGAGATTGCTGTGAGTTTTTTTTCTTTGGTCACTCCACCAAGGCCAGGGACTCCCCTTTGTGGTCCGTAAGGAAACATGCCATGGAAAACTCTCGTAGATTTAAAAGAAGATTTTCCAGTCGCAGACGGCTTGATGAAAAAGTGCAAATCGAGGTGCGTAGGTTCAAATGCCGGTTTACCGTCATTCATAATTGTGAGCAGGATTTAACTGAGGTGGGTGATGTGATCTGCGAATTGATTTTGTACGAAGGTTGGCCACTCGCGAGATGAAATGACGGGACGTGCGGTCCTCTCGCTAAACAAAGCTGGTGCCCGGTTGGAGAATTTCCTGACGGGGAATCACACGATAATGATGCTTCATTGTGATGACGGTACCTTCGACAACTCTGGTGACGAACCTCTCTAATGACAATAGGAGAGAGAAAGCCGTTAATGACAGCGCAGAAGCTCTCTCGGGAGATTTGAAACATGGACTCAAGAGAGCGTCTTCAATTCCGATTCTTTTATTACTCACTCAAAAACGTGAGGGGGATTTCCTGGTATCTGAAGCCTGGAATATGCTGGAAATTCAAAAGTGAAAGTAAGTTAGCATAGTTTCATTTGGTGACGCGACATTTGCTAGGCGTGCATCTCAAGAGTAGAACCACAAAAAGATTCGGGGGGGGTTGCCACTACTTTAGTCCACCTTCCTAAGCACTGTTACAAACATAAAAATGGGAACCTGTTTCAAACGCAACAACATTAAATTCTCCGAGCTTCTGACTCACCTTAATCTGGATATAGGTAACCAGCCTCTTCAGTAGCGAGAGGAGATCCTGGCTTCCGACGGGCATATCTGCGTGAAAGTGCACAAACTTGCGATTTAAAACAAAAAAAACAAAAAAAAAACAGCGTGACAGATTTGACTTGAAAAGTAGAAAATCGTACCTGCGGGATACAAGAGCTGGTTGACATGGTGAATGACGCCATTTGTGGCCATGATGTCAGAATCGGGGATTTGTACCGAGTTGACTCGCATGGTGTCGTTTGCCTGCGAAACATCCGCAAACCTCAAACCCGAGACCTCTGATGACTGCTCGTACTAATCGCTACCAGCTTGCTGTAAGTTGAGCCCATTTGAGAATTGCACCACAAAAAAACTGCTTCATATGCTCAAAAAAGATGCTAATGCATGTAACTCCACTCACAAACATGACTTTGAGGTTGCTGCCTTGCAGGGACTTGAGAAGGTTTGTGACTCCCGTCTCCAAACCACCACCGATGAAGATGCCGTTGTTGATGTGGTACAGGAGGATCGTTCTGAGAGCGTTGATGTCACCTGAGTTGAAAGAGAGGCGAGCGGTATTGACAGCGAGCAACAGGTCTTCATAAAAAGCTGCGCTGGAGACCTACTCTTCAGCAGTGTGAAGTCTCTCTCCTTTAAACCGGCAAAAGCCTTGTCGGTAGGGGCGAATAGCGTGAAGTCTCCCTCTTGTCTGAGCAAGTCAGTCAATCCGGCGTCTTCCATCAGAGACAAAAAGATCCTACAGCGCAGAGAGAAACTTGGCATGAGAGTCCCGCAACCACATCTAATATCCATATAGCCGCGACTCTTTGGAAAGATTGAAAACACTGCGGTTCCAACGGGTGACGCAGCATCTTAATGCCACGTTCCGCTTTCATCAAGCCCACCGCTGTACTTACTTGAACCCGCCCTTTTCTCTCAGAATCTCATACATGGATTTTTCGGCGGGTTTGAGGAAGCTCCTCATGAGATGGAGCGCTCCGTTGCTTCCCTCCTTGCTGCCCCTGATAAGGCAGGAGTTCTCGATGCACACGGCCTGCAAAAGAACCGAGACAAAGCGCTCAAAGGTCACGGCTCAATTGCGGATGGAACGCTTGATGTTTTTCAAAGAGGACGACGCACGGTGCGGTAGATGAAGACCCTCAGGAGCTTTCCGCCGACGGTCTCCAGCGTCTGCCCATTGTACAGCTGTCCGAGGGTGATCTTTCTCTTCAGGATGTGATTCTCCAGAATAATTTTAAGCATTCTTTGATCCATGCTCATCACCTCATCTGCCGCGAAAACATGGAAAAAGCGCTCGGTACGGTGCGGTTGTTGATCGATGTCAACGCATACCCTGGCGAACATGGTCAGACGCCTTCGGCCAATCTAGGCACTGCCCCCAATGTCCACGTGATGTTTTAGAGGCGTGCCAGCTACGTCAGCCCCACAATTTCAAGAGGCTTTAGGAACTCTGGGTGGAACTCATCCACTCATTGGGCTTTACCACCGATGAGTTTTTTTAACCACCTCATGACTTCAACCCCACAGTGAGGAGAGCCCACCTCAGGGTCCCCACACTGTGCTTCCTCCAAGCAGTGGGACTGACGAGATCTTCAAGTATTCTCCCTACGGACACATCGGATTGGGCAGTATGGCGCTCACCGTTGAAGGCGGTGTTGAGTGGGGCCAAGAGTGTGTATTCGGCCTCGGGCCTCATGGCAGCAGAGAGTCCCAGCTCGGACACCATGTCACCAAATGTGGACTGGGAACTCCCCACCAGTTCCATCACCTGTTTGGCTGAAAAAGCAGAGAAAATCCTTACACAGTAAAAACAGGGCCAGTATTTACAAACCAATCGGACTCCGGTGAGGTTTTCGCTTTGGCTGACAGTTGGGGTTTCGTCAATACATGTAAAACAGAAGTCTTCTGGAAGCAATCCTTAACCAGCTTTCTGGCATGCAGGATTCACGTGTAGTATTTCGAGAACCGCAGGACGGTATGGTTTGGTTTGAGGTTGGAATTAATGACCTGTCACACTGCACTAGGTCGATGAGACCAAAAGCCCAGAGATTTTGGAAGGAATCCACCACAGTTTGATCAAAGATCAGTTCCATAGGTTCCAGGTACTTCGGGTCCTTTTGTTCTAATTTCTGTTACGGTATAGTCACGAGGCAACGTTGTCTGTTGGTAAGCCATATGTCAGTGAAGATGAGAGGGAGTGAGAAGGCGGGTCTAACCTGAGTCTGGCATGAGCACTTGGTCGATGAGGTGGATGACGCCGTTGGTTGTGACGATGTCCTTCTTGCGCACCATCTTGATGCCATTGACGGTCAAGCTCTCGCCATCACAACCAATTACAATGTGGTTGCCCTCCAGGGTCTCGTAAGAGCTGCCAGCCATGATGGCCTCGGAGCATTGCACCGAGTCCAGAAGGTGGAAATTCAGAAGCGCTGGAAAACAAAGACGAATCCGTCATGAATGTCGTTTCGGTTGTTGATTTGGCTCGTGGGGTGCTTGCGTGGCTTGTTGCTCAATATCTTGTCACTCTACAAACAGAAGCTCTCGGGAACCAGAAGACCCTTGGATCCTTTGGGTCCTTGAGGAGAACCACTTGGGACTCTGCCACCGTTCTGTTTAACTTTGTGTGGGATTGGGTGGTCTGACATCATCAACCAATCCGATATTTGAGGTTGACCATCTTACTTTGTATAACTACCGCTTCCAAGGAAAGCTGTTTTATGTTGCCACAGACAAGAGCAGCGCCACCTTGATGACATTTTGGGACAGTTGAACAAAACAGCTCAACACCATTGGATTTGCTATCTCGCGAAAGGACTTTGTCAGTGTAAATGTGTGATCCTATTATCTTGTCAAACATTCTCTTTTATCTGTTGGCTTTCCGTTCACGATGACATGCGCCATTTGAAAGCGGAGACTAATTTTTGTTATTATTCCCCACTAAACTTTGTTACGCGTGGCCTGCCAAAGTGTGTCCATGTTCCAGACGCATTGCACAGAATATTGCGGTTTCAGCTGTTTCCAATTGGCTGCGACGGAACCGGTGAAGTCAAGCAAACGCAAAGCCTGAGTACTTTTGAATTATGCTGCTACCTTCACCTTTTAGCCACAAAGGCACCTTTTGTTATGGTTGTAGACTTTAATGCAGCGCTGAGCGATGTCAGGGAATGATTCGTCACCCTTGGGAGCAAACATGCGCTGTACCTTGGAGGACCTTCTTGTCACTCTGAAGCCTCTGGAGCACGTCGCCTCCAAGCTTGGCAAAGGCTTCGTTGGTGGGGGCGAAGAGAGTGAAATGTCCGGGCTGATCCAGCTTGTCCAACAATCCGGATTTCTGGGCAATATCCTGGAGGGACGGAAGCGACAGGGTCGCGTTTAGCAGGGAAAAGCAACTTGATAAGGACTAGAGATGAAACGGCAGGAAAATTTCATATCATGAGTGTTTTGACGGTTATCGGTATGATCACAATATTGCTTTGCGGGGAAATAACAGATAGATGCACATAGACTATTGTGATAAGTATCATTTTGATGAAAATCAGCAAGCCTATGGACTTTTTACACGTTAGAAATTGAGGCACACCCAGATGAACGTCCATGCATGCGAGATGCCAAAATGCGTCACGTAACATTGACCTTGTCTCTTTTTCGCCGCAAGAATGTAAACAGGAAGGAGGTTTGCTATACACAGACATAGAAGCGCAAATAACCCCCCGACCCCCCAAAAAAGGAACGGAACTGGTGTTTGTTGATAACTCTGATCATCAAAAGGATAATCCGGCGTGCTACAACACACCGGAAAGTAGCAGAGTCCACAAGTTATTTTTGTTTGCATGGGGAAAAGGCGCAGGCTTGCTAAACCGAAGACTTCATCTGCAGTTACGTCACCACGTAGCCAGTAACGCTGCGATGTCACAGAGTAGAAAGGAGCCCTGCTCTTATAGGGACACGAAACACAATAGTCACAGTAAATAGAGCATAAAAACGCTCATTTTAAAATGTCACGGTTCATCAGAAAACAGCCTTCTGAGGGTACGATAGCAGAAACAAACACGCACTACTAATACCGATGGCAGTCAGGATGAGCAAGGTTTGCCTAAAAAGCAGCAGAAGTGCTGGCCTTCATTTACAAGCTAAATTCTAAAATGTCTTCTGTGGAAAATGTGGTGGCGGGAAGTCACCAGGTACAAATATGGCAAACACCCTCCCGCCGACTCACATTCAGCGTCTCCAGGTCATCATCAACCTGGATCACGTCCTTGATGGTGGTCCCGACGGCGCTGATGACGCGATCGATCACGTGGACGACGCCGTTGGTGGCCACCTGGTTGCCGTGGATGATCCTGGCACAGTTGACGGTCACCACCTGCGGGGGCGCCACAGCGTCTATCATGCGGGACGCCGCCAGGCCACGGCGGCGGCTTGTGCCAAACGATGGCGGCGCTCACCCCGTTGGGGTAGTGATTGATGAGCAGACCCAGGTCGTTGTACATGGACGTGATGGTCATGCCGTTGCGCAAGTCTTTGGTCAGGAGGCGCTTGTTGACCATGTGGAAATGCAGGGCGTTGTAGAGCTCAATGTTGACGTTGCTGACAAGCGCGGCCCGCATGCTCTGTCGCAGGGGGAAGAAGAAAAAGAACCATTCTGGACAGATGAGACTTGAAATATCTTGACTCCTCCTAAAGTACAGAGTGTGAGTAGTTTTGCCAACTCTGGGTATCGGCGCAAGATTTTCGGATCCGTTTGTCGAACCTCACCTCATCCAAAAGCTCCCAAGCATCGTTGCTGGGCGCAAAGAAAGTGTACGAGCCGGATCCCTCGATCTCGGCCCTCAGCTTGGAAATGTCGGCGTATCTTTGGGTGGAATGGGCCTTCACCATGCCCAGCGTGCCGTACACATGATCGATCGGGGCCACTGCGGGGGTGGGAAGGGAAAACAAGAACTTCAGAATGACCACATCGCAAAATTCCAACCATTTGGAAAACATCCATCGCCCTGAACTGATCAGAAGACTAAACACCCATTCACACTCACCTATGGGCAATTAAGACTCGTCAGTTAACTCAAAGGTTCCAAACTCAAGGCATGGGCCGAGATTCCGTCGACCACATCCTTTTATCTGGCCCGCTAAAGCAAAATGAGGTGTGTCTAATTTTGGCTTTTCATTTAGATATAAAACCTTGCTCAGAAACAGCCATTTTTAAAATTTTATTTTAACCAATCGTGGATCTTCATTTTTTTCCCCCCCATGACTTGTGATGTCAAAATCACAACAATCGGTGGACCGCGAATAGCTGCAAGCTAATTAGTTAGCCACTGGCTAGTTAGCTGCTGCGCCACCATTTTAATGTCTTTAGACACCGGTGCGAGTCGATAAAAGAGGCTTTCATGATGCACTCCTCTTGCATCATTACAGTTCCGTTGTCGTGACTTCCACTGAAGGTTGTTATGCTTCACAGGCAGCCTGGTCTTTCTCTTCCGTCAAACACCGGCATCCGAAAGAACATGTGTCAGCAACCTGTGAGAGCATCGCTTACCAGAGTAATAACAACCCGCTGCTCGCTGGGTTTGGGAGATATGCCCAAATAAAGCTTTTATAAATTGACTCCGACGTATGTCGGTGAACGCCACGCACCTGCAGGGCAACCGCGCATTCCATCCAGCTTCATGTATCCTGGGCAGCACTCGTAAAGGACGGTCCTGCAAGTGAAATAAGCGCATTATCCACCTCCGATAGGTAGCAAATCCGTTAAAAGGTTGACGCCAGACATTGTGGGATTATATGCTTTATCTGGCGACCGACGGCGTTGTCACAGTGTTTCCAGATGTGACGGTTTGTCTCCGTCGCTACCAAAAGATGCCACGTCTAGCATCTGGCTCCAAAAGCTAATGGGAAAGCTTGGCCCTTGGATTAAGCTAACATTAAAATAGCAGATTTATAGAACAGAGAGTGCTCACAATCAGTTTGCTATTTGCTTAGCGTTTGGTTAACCTCATTTTGGCACGCGGAAATATGCGGCGTAGTCAATGTTGGATACCACAACATTTTGGTCAGCACAAAGACCCTTTATGGTCTCTTCCATGGAAACTGTTGAACCCAAAGTATTGCGTGCTTACAGCACAAACGAGTAGAAATTGCACAGGAATCGGGCCAGATAGCGACAGAACAGCAACGCAGTTCGATTACGTGAATAGAATACAATGAAATGAGTGAAAAGGAGTAAGTATGGTGGTAAGTGTGAGCCCCTTCTTTTTCTGCGTGACCGCAAATTCTTACGCCACTGGACAAACTAATTCATTGTGCTCCCTAAAATGACATGTGTCGCGACCTTACACTGAAAACACAGACCTAATGTACAGTCTTATCGTTGTTGTTAGCCATGTTTTTGGTTAGATTTGACTGGAACCTTTTTTTTTTTTTTTAGTTTGGACCCTTGTAACCTCAGAGTGGGACATTTAATTGCAGTCGTTTTTTTTCTGCGAGTTACCTGGAGACTTTCTGTCATGCCCCCACAAGGGTTGAAAGGTGAGCCATAGTCACCAATGCACTTTTCATGCCATGCTTGTCTCCCAGCTAACACTTGAACATGCATGTTTGCTGCTGGGAGTGCAGGTAAATTGCAGCGGCTCACCCACGGGGCGGCAGGAGAAAGACAAATACAGTATAAGAATTCTTTTTATAAAGAGCAGCTGCTGGATATAAACACGGCTATACTTCACACAGCCGCAAGTATTTGGACCTCATATGCACTATTATAAACGTTTTGGGGAGGGGCGACATATATGACATAAAAAAAGAGCCACAGTTGTATACATTCAGATATATACGGTATTGGAACATATACATGGTTAGCTCAAGTTCTGCTCTGTTGCTTACACTTGTAAATAAAACGTCAATAACCTTATCATATAAACCAAGAACTAACAATGTATGACCAAATATCCACATGAAAAAAAAAAAAACGTTTCCATGTGAAAGCTGAAAAAAAAATAGGGAGGGCGGCAGGGGCTCCTTATGTGAATCACCTGCGCTTCGAAATTGTCAACAATAGTGAGCCTGTGCACATTCAGGCATTTTGGTGGGACTAAACACGCCAAAAATGTTGCATGCTGGAATCATTAGATGAAGAAAAGATGCTGTCTTGGATGCAGTCTGCAGTCAGAGGACAAAAAACACCAAATGTGGCCAACCCTCATTGAAGAAAAACATCTATTCGGCTAGCTAGATAGCTAGCTATCTGTCCCATCACAGTAACTGACCTGTTTTTCTCTAAAATGTGGTTTAAAACTCATACTACCAAATTAAATGTCCTGATCAATGATTAAAAAAAAAAAAAAAAAATCAAATTAATTGCCGGGTGCCGTATGCTTGACATTCCTATTGAAGACGAAGCTCTCATCTTGAAAGAAAAACAGGATTCGATTTTAACATCACCCTGTTATTAATCGTTCTTATTTGTGGTTTCTGTGGGATTTGGCGGCACTGCGATGACATCACACAGCAGCCCAGTCAGGGCAAAGTCAGCATATGAAAAAAAAAAAAAATCATAATAATAATTTGCTACGTTGCTCCCTCACACAGAGGGATTGTGTCTGGCCAAGCGTTCGGAGACTTTTGACTTGTCAGCATTTCCTTTAAAAAGAAAAAAGAAAAAAAAACTACGGTAAATTGGTCACGTCGGATATTCTCCCTGGGGCCGCGTTCCAATACAGTTACTGATTCGCAGCGTGGAAATTGCTTTTGAAGACCAATTGTGAGGAAATGGACACCAAGTTGTTGTCTTGAAAGAATAAGATGCTGTGTTGGTGTATTGGTCGTTTTTTTGTGCCAGGAAAAAGGTTGCACGTTTTTGTCTGTAAGCAACTGCAGCGTTACGTAAAGTAAATGCGCAGGCTACATTGTCGTGCAGAAGTTGAGCTTTTTGACACTGTTGTTGCTTCATTCCAGACACCCACTGGACACATCATGAAGTTAGCAAAATCGGAGTCTTGACACATCAAATTTAGATCCCCCCAAAAATCTGCGCTTACCAAATGAATAATGTTAACTGACAATCTCGCTGAGATGTTGATTTCACCTTATTATTGTGGTTGAAGTTTGTTTCGTTGTTTTTGCCTGTCACTTTCTGTCACCGCTACAGATAGGTGAACAAAGTCACAGACCTTGTAAGTCGTAAGCAAATCAACTTTTTCAGACATAATAAGTGAAGTCAGATCATTTCCCACAGCGCACCTCATGACTCGCCAAGCCACGCGGCATGTTCTGCGATACGCTGGACACTGGTGTGCCTCATGACGTGGCAAGTGCAAGCGGGTCATCCAGTGCAACTCAAAAGCAAATCTAAACTGTTCATGATGAATCTATCATGTCGAAAAAAAAAGCCAGGGCTCCCTTCCATGTTTCAACACAAAAGTGCTGAGAAGCCAGAAATGGCAAGAGAGTGAGACAAAAACCAAGCGGTGCAGTTTGGAGTAAACGGCGGGCTTTTCCATTCATGAATCGTGTCAGCAATTCCGAGCCACATCCTGGAGTCTGTGGCTCACCACGCTGACACTCAAACAGTGGCCGCTGGCCCCCCTCCAGAAGCTAATGAACAAGACTGCCCGTGATCGCAAAGACTTCAAAAAGTTTTTGGGTCTCGTTTGGATGTGATCAAAATGCTCGCATCCTTAAGCGGCCTACCAGATGTCTTTCGGGCTGGAAAACGTCTTATTCCCCGAAAAAAAGAACTACGCTCAAGAGATGACACTGAACACGAATGCACATGCGCTGGGAATTAACATATTCCTAATATGCCGCGGAATTTTTTTTTTTAATGCGTGAATGACTCGATCACGGATGACGGGTGAACGCTGCTCACATTCTTTATGCTTGTTTTGTAATTCAAAACACATGTTCTCGTGTTGGTCCTTTGTGAAGTTGTCGCTTTGTGTTTTATTTTCCGTTGAACCCGATTCCAAGCTAAAATGACACCAATGGGCTTTTTATGTGCTCTTTCTGAGATAGAAGCCAAAGCCTTGTCTAATCGGAAAGTAGTACTGTACATCGTAGTCAAGGAAGTCTCGTGAAGTGAGGGCAAGCTTTGCATGTTGGGGAGGAGCCCAGTTTAGCCTTGGTTGTTAGTAGAAGTTACAGAAAGTCTTCACCGCACAATGCGCTCGAGGTGCATTTTTTTTTCTCCTTAATCGAATCATCTTTAAGACACTTAATTTTAAGCGTGACCTGTAAAATGAATTACAAACCGGTCTGGGATCAAACTTTGAATATTTCAACTTTCAATTCTAACCCTTTCTGAATGGGTGCCAATCATTTTTCCGTTTTCCGCCTTTTGTGACGGGACTCGGTATATCTTCAAAATACCCCATAAAAAAATTCTCACTTTGGTCACTGCAATGGCGCCATAATGTTTTCACGGTGCTCGTCTCATGGGACACAATGAAACCTACTCACGCTTTCTTCCCACAGATGGCGCCTTGGTACCAATTGCGACAAGTGCTGAAGTACTTCTTCCTGGTGCCCATGACTTGCTGCAAGGCGCACACGTTGGGCCTGAGGCAGGGGGGGAGGAAAGATCAGTCACTCTTATGAACGCTGGAGAAGTGAAATGAGGAGTGAAATATCGCATGCTTTCATTTGATTCATTCTGCAGTTAATGGAAACCCCAAATTCCATCATTCCCAAAAATGTCTTTAATGACTTATATACATGAAATATGAGTTTGCTTTAAAAACAGAAAAGCCATTTTATTGACAATATTCAAGTTTACTATGCGCACGTACGCGTCCTGCACTCGCAATGAAATGACATGAGACACCATCACATATGTGAGGGGTTCCAACACAACTCTTAAGACAATGCGTTTCTTGTTTCTTACCCCTGGTTCCTGGCCCGGATGCGACTGTGCGCCACGATCTTGTCGTAGGCCGACGCGTGCGCCCCGTCCAACAAGGATGAGAGCACAAAGAGTGCCAAGGCGGCCGCGAACAGGAGCTTCATCCTTTTTTTTTTTTTTTTTTTGCCTGCGGCCTTTGACGCCTTCCTCCGCCACAG